ATCACTCCCCAGAAACATGCGCTGTGTGTTCTAGCTTTTTCCCATTTCCCTAGTTTGAGATAATATATTAATTCCCAGAGAATAAATGTGGAGAGACAGCTGTAGAGTCTCCATTTAATATTAGGTCATGTACTTAGAGTAATACCTTAAATTTTTTATCTTTTAGTCCTCTGCGGACTCAAAGTTCCTTCACACGTTTGAGCATCTTGACTCCTAAGTCGTGTCCACATTTTCAACATAGCCCGGGACAGTGGAGACATAGTTTTACCACAAGCTTAAGAAAACTGAGGAGACTCAGGTATGAAACCCAGTGTCTCTCAATTGCTGCTGTGGTCCTGCATTCACTGAACTCCACATAGTTCCTATCTCCTTTTAGAACCTTCTAGAAACAGAAGATTCAAACCCGTTGGTGGATATGACCTACTGACCTTCCCTAAAGGCCACCTACATTGTTACTGTTTTACAGTTGAGGAAGGAGGAAATAGCTGAGACCATTTACTCTGTCTATTGGCTTTATAAGCAGAGGTCACTGCCAGGCCCATTGAGCAAGTTCAATTCTTTTTTTTTTTTTTTTAAGAGAGAGAGAGAGAGAATTTTTTAATATTTATTTTTTAGTTCTCGGCGGACACAACATCTTTGTATGTGGTGCTGAGGATTGAACCCGGGCCGCACGCATGCCAGGCGAGCGCACTACCACTTGAGCCACATCCCCAGCCCCAAGCAAGTTCAATTCTATGGGACTGAAAGTATAACTTCTTGGTAGAGTGCTTGTTTAGTATGCAGAAGGCCCTGGATTCCATTCCCAGTACCAAAAAGAGAGAAAAAGAGAGAGACTGAGGCAGGAAGATTGAAAGCTTGAGGTCAGCCTCAGCAACCGTCAAGAAACCCTCAGCAACTTAGTGAGTCCCTGTCTCAATAATAATAATAACAACAACTTAGAAAAGAGAGAGTTCAATTCTGATAGCAGTCTGCTTTCTTAAACAATTTTCAATAAATTTAAATATTAACTCCAGATTCTGAATTCCATATTTGTTCAGGATCATAATCAACTCTATACTTCCTATGTGGAATGTCAATTCACTGTGTCCAATTGCTTGGTGAACTCCTGGCAGAATCAGTTCCTAAGAATTCTGTAAACGTGCATGAATCATCCTCAGGCCTCGGGTCATAGAAAGACCCTCCAGGCAGAAGAATCACTACCCCATCCAAGAGCTGGTGACACATGCAAGGGGTTATGTCTTTGCAGCCTCCATCATATTTTAGGGATAAGCACAAAGCATTATAGGAGCCTATAAAAGTGAAACTGACCCAGAATGGAAGGGTTAGGAAAGGCCCAATGGAATAAGCTTCCAAACTGAGATGTGGGAACTAATTATTTTTCTAGAGAAAGACCAGAGGGGAGCTATTGAGGTAGGGAAAATTATATGGTCATGCAATAGCACAAAAGCCTAACCAGAAGATCAGTCACCTACCTAATGCTGTGCAATATGCAAAAATGTATCACCCACAACCTCCTTCCTTTGTTTTGACTCTCTCATCTTTTCTGTAAGAAGCCTTACCTCCCTCCCTTCATAGATCAAATTTTTTCCCTTTGCACCAAAAAAAAAAAAAAAAAAAAAGGTCACCTCCTTGCCTTAAAAGCCATGTTTACACAACCAGCATGATTTCTTTTCATTGGTGATTTTTGGCCCTGGGGTTGTATTTCTTATACTCACAATGTTTTGAATGTGACATTTTAAACCTAACTTAACTCTTTTCTACTACCAAAGCTAGATTAATCTAGTAGGAGGCTTAACAGACAATCCAAGCAGACAGACCTGCAGATTCCCAGTGCCACAAAAAATGTGAATTGTTTTTCTTCTGCCTACAGGATTGAAGGTTATTGCAGAGTTTCAGATTTTTATGAGCATTTACAATTGTGGATCTGATTGGGATCTGGGCTTTCACGTTAACTCATTTCAGATTGCTGAAATATTCATCTTTGAGTTAATAAAAATGATTATCAAATCAGAATTATGAATATCAAGCCATGGAGGAAAAGAACATTTTGTATATCTTAGAAGATACTCATAAAATTACTATGGAAAACTAAGTAACAAACATGTAAGAGGGCCCAAATTACCTGGTTCTACCCAATAATAGAAAGGACATTGCACAATTCAGAGAAGGAAGAGCAGAACTTTTTGTATACATTTATCTTACTTCCTGGAAGAATCCGTGGTTTTAGAAATCAGGAGGCCCATGCCCCAGCCCTAGAGATTTTGTACAAACCAAGGGTAGTTGTTTGATCTTGTAACATGTGCAAACTCATGCATGTTGAAGTTTTGCAAGGAGTCTATATTTATTTCTCCCAGTGGGCCTTCTAATTTGAAAGTTAACAATGACAGTGATTATGCATGGACCTTTCCAGATCTCCCTGTTCACCCTCCTTCCAGCGACCATAGAAGCTCAGGGCCCATATAAATTGGACCATGGCCCCCCTAGGTTGGGGCATTATTTTATTCAGTTTACTTTTTTTTTTAAAGTTGGTTAAAGTTAACTTCATACTTAGATTCTCCATAGCATGAAAAGATACATATTCAAGAAGCAGAGAATGTGTTTAAAAACAAAGCAGAATTTTAATCGTTTTTCACATCAATATGATACCTAAAGCTTATTGATTGATAAATGATGCTATAAAATATCAAAGTTAAACATGATTTTTATTATATTTGATTTAACTCTGTGATTTAAAGAATATTTTTCTTTGGCTCTTATCCACTTCCACTTTTGTTCAGTATCTTGCCATATAACATGCTTGTAAGTCCTAACTTGTGAAGAATTCTTATTCCTGCAGTGGAATAACAAACACCAGGCTCACTCTCTCCAAATCATAAATCTATTGCCATATTAAAATCTTCTGTCATATCTATGTGAACATTTACGACATCAAAATCAAGTCTAACTGCACCATATTTTCTCCACATTCAAGAAGAAAATAAAATTCTCCAACTAAAAATGGAAACATGTGACTCTTCTATTTGAGTTATAAACTTCAGGACTCTATTGGTGGGAAAATGGGAATGAGTTCCTTTCAACTTCTTCCAGGAGGAGAGTAGAATCTGAAGAGGGAAGGTGGCTAATTCATTCTCCCCTGTGGGAATTTAGGACACCCACAAGATTTTCTAAAAATTTTGAATAAAGAACATGTGAATGTAGTACCTCTTCCTCTTTTATCATTTTTTTTTTTTACTTTTTGAACTTTGGTAATGGGGATTGAACCCAGGTGCACTCTACCACTAGCTACACCCACAGCCCTTTTTATCTTTTATTTTGAGGGTCTAGATCAGTTACTGAGGCTGGCCTCAAACTTGCAATCCTCCTGCCTCAACCTCCCTAGTAACTGAGATTACAGGTGTGTACCACCATGTCAGTTCACTTTTTAACAATTTTTTAAAATTTTTTTTGTAGTTGTAGATGGACAGAATGCCTTTTTTAAAATTTGTTTATTTTTATGTGGTGATGAGGATTGAACCCAGTGCCTCACGCATACTAGGCAAGCACTCTGACACAGAGCTACAGCCCCAGCCCACTTTTTAACAACGTTGATAAACGGTTTTCATAGATTTCATACCAGCCTTCAGTTATATAGGTTAAATGACAGGATTAGATCAATCAGAATTTTGGAGAAGCAGCTAAAAGCATGGGCAGTCTGCCAGCAAGAGTGAAAGCTAATTAACTCACTTTTTATTTCTTAACTTTTGCTATTTACCAGACCAATAAAACACATAGGTGGGAGGCTCAGAGTTGAAAAACAGACTCTACTGCTCTGAGAAAAGATCAAGAACTGCTTCCTTTATGAGGTATATTAATAATTGTGAAGATATTAATTATTTTTTTCATTAGGCAGGTGATGGATAATAATTATTATTGTGCAAACTCTTAGAAAACTAAGCAGATTCCTACATCTGTGAGCAGAAAAATTATCTGTGTACACACACCCTGCAAAAAGTGCATGTCCCTGATGTATATAAGAAGGCAAAGCGGCTACAGACTCAGAGAAACATAGATCACACAGAAGTGTCCTGCTCAATGAATGTCACTCTAAGATGTAATATGCCATAGAGGCAAAGACATGCAAAACAAGTGGCAGTGTTCAGCCTCAATCTACAATTGTAAAGATGCTAAGGAAGATCTCAGAGCTTGAATAAGTTAATAACATGATTATCATAGAGACCATAAAGAAAGAAAGTTCAAGATATGCAAAAGCTTACTGGTGATGATACTACACATTTGTATTAACTTTATAAGACTTTAGTGCCAATCCTCTTACAGACTCAAGTGGCATGGACTCTAGGATGACCACCACATAGTGACACGTTGACATTGACACAATACACCACTGCATCTTTTTCCAAACCTCTTATATCAACCATGTCTCCTAATTCAAACTTTCTACAATATCAAGCTGTGTCAAACAATATCTTTTGTTTTCAAAACTTAATATCTGACATTAGAGAAATTTTTTGGTAATAGAATAAAAATAAGATATTAAAATTATGTATTTTTTCATATCTTAGCTGCTTTGCCTATAAAAAAATATAAGGTGGTTACTTTGTTATCAATTTTATTCTCAGTTTTTAAAATGTGGGGGAAACAAGCCAGGCATGGCGACATACGCCTGTAGTCCCAGTGATGCCAGAGGCTGAGACAGGAATATCACAAGTTCAAGACCATCCTCAGAAACCTAGTGAGGCTTCAAGCAATTTAGTAAGACCCTGTCTCAAAATTTAAAAAAAAAAATTTAAAAGGACTGGGGATGGAGTTCAGTGGTAAAGTGCCTCTGGCTTCAACCCCCAATATATGAAAAAAAAAGTAGGGAAATAAGGATTTATTTTAATAGCATCTCTCTGCCAAGCTCAGAACACTTTAGATCACACACATTAGTCATTTGAGGTATCTCCATCTTAAACCCTGACCACTATTATTGTCAGATCAGCAAAGTGAAGAGAAATATTTACCGCTCCAATTGGCTCCCCTCTCAGGCAACAGGTACTTGGCCATCTTCCAGTTTTTATGATTTTTGTAAGAAATGTGTAGGATTCCACTTTCACTAGCATAACGATGGTTTTATCTTCAAACTACCAAATGAGCTTCTCTGTAATCCTAGTAGAGAAAAAAATACATTTGTATTTTTAGAGAAAATATTTAATCAAAAACTATCTTAAAATCCAAGAACTAGAATGGACCTCAACAAGGCTTAAGAACAAACCACAGATTTTTTTTTTTTAATTTCTAAGCTTGAAGAATCCTCAGGATCTTTTAAGCAGTCTTTTTTTGTTTTTGTTTTTACAGTGTTGAGGATCAAATCCGTGGCCTCATGCATGCTAGGCAAGCACTCTGTCACTGAGCCTTGGCCCCTGTTTCAATTTCTACCTGTTTTAGTTGGTTTCTATAAAATTATATTATATTGTCATCTATGTATTTGAAAACAAAACTTAGCCTTTTCTTCTTAGGTCAAAACAGCTACAATTAGCTCAATGTCCAATTCCAATATTCAAATTACCTTGCCATTTTTTTGTAGAATCTTTTCAAGTTTTTGAACATAACTCACAAAACCTGAAAGTTAGTGCTAGAATCTAGTTGGCACAGTGGTGCATGCTTATAATCCCAGCAAGTTGGGAGGCCAAGGCAGAAGGATCACAACTTTGAGGCTACACTCAGCAATTTAGCAAGGCCCTAAACAACCTAGTAAGACCCTGCCTCAAAAAAAAATAATAATAATAAATAAACAGATCTGGGGATGTTGCTCAGTGGTAGAGCACTGAGATTTAATATATTGTATAAAATTATATCCAACTTGTGTTTAAGGTGTACATGAAACATAAATGAATTTTGAATTTAGAACTCTTGAGTCTCATAACCAAAATATTTCCTCGTGTATATGCAAATATCCTAAAATACAAAACAAACCAATAAAACTCTGAAATCCAAAATACTTCTAGTCCCAAGCATTTCAGGTAACAGGTATTCAACCTAGGTGGTATTCATAAAACAGACTGTCTTAGCAATATTCAGTTCTTATCCTCATCACTCAGAAAGGAATTTCAACTTTTAGATCTCAAAATTAAATAATTCATTTTATAATTTTAAATTGCAGAGGGTGTACTATTTTCCTGGGATCAATTTTCTGTTGAACATGGCTACACCATGGAATAGAACTGACAATCTTTGAAAAAGCAAAGGGATTCACTGTGAGATGTGGATGCAGGGGTGGTCCCTTTGTCTGCACAGCCCACCTTCGTAGACCCTCCTTGCTATTATGGGGAAAGTAAACAGTCCTATTGATTTCCAGGGTCTGTCAGCTCTATGTGAACACAACTAAGGGCTCTTCCTTCCAGTAGACATAATGCTAACTAGGACAGATTATTATTGAGGGCTATCCACAGATGCATCAATACTGAAAATTTACCCAGTGATAAATTACCAGTCTTATCCCAGCTTGGGTTGTTCACCATGGGGGAAAAAAGTAATTCAAAATGGTCTTAAAAGGATCATCCATATCATTGATGGCCAAAGGTATGGAGACCCTTTAGGATTAAGACCTCAAAAAGAAACAAATAGTAACTGAAGTTGTCATTCTCGTTATCACTTTCAGTTAAAAAAAAAAAAATTCTGCTCAGGACTTCTTGAAGACTATGTTCACCTTTGGGCTCATAAAAGAAATATATATGCACTGTGACTGCTTACTGACCGAGGTGTGTTCATTATATTTAATATGGGAGAAAGTTATTGGCTACAAAAAATAAAATAAATTTGCAAGACTGGAGCTTAAAATAAAAGATTTCAGATGTCCCTCTTGAAGGAAAATTTATTAAGAATGAGAAATGAATTTCTCCAGCAATTACTAATTCTAAGACAGATATTGTTAGTGATGTGTGCTCCACATCACTGCCATTTGTCCAGGTTTTGCATGCCATTGGGTGTTTTTAACTGCCAGGTCAACAACATTGTGGGAGGAAAACCACACGTGAATTGTGAAGACCTGCAACCCTGAATACACCTGGATGGGTGTCATTTTCTTGCCACATTCTGTTGGTCTTACTTCTTAGGAATAGTTAAAATATTCTTTATGAATCTTGCTGCCTATAGATCCTTAAAAATGAGGATGAGGAGACATGGAGAACGATTTTACTAAGTGAAATAAGTCAGGCACAGGAAGATAAAATACTTCCTGTTTTCACTCACGTGGATGTTTAAAAAGTCCTTCTCAGCTATGTTTATGTATTTAGGTCTCTGTGCTGAGAATGAGACCGAGGGTCTCATGCACGCTTAGCAAGTCCTCCACCATTGAGGTATGTTTCCCAGCTCTTAAGTTGATCTCATAGAAGTCGAGAGCAGAATAGCGATCACCAGAGGCTAGGAAGGGTATGAGGAAGGATGGGGAGAGGATGTTCAATGAAGTACAGTTGGAGAAAAAGAACAACTCCTAATATACACTAGGGTAACTATGGTTGATAACAATTATATATTTCAAAATAGCTAGTAAGGAAGACGATGAATGTTCCAGTCACAAAGAAATGATCCATGTGACATGCCAGTTACCCTGATCTGATAGCTGCACATTGAATACACGTTTTGAAATACCATGGTGTGCCCCATAGATATGTACAATTGCTATAAATCAATTTTTTCAAAATATTTTTAAAATGATGATGAGAAGGGTCGAAGATGAGAGAGAAGGAGAAGCTTCCAAAACAATGTAAAGTCAAGCACCGAGGAGGAAGAACAAAGAACTGGACGGGCCATTGGAGATGATGCCCACCCACATTATTCACTTGTCTCCAAAACAAAACTAAAACTTTTATGCAATGAATCAATAACTCATAAACCCAGGAAACATTGTTCATGACTACAAAATAAGCACGTTTCAGTGTTTTCAATTAAAAAAAAAAGAAAGAAAGAAAAGCTGTACTAATTTCCTACTACACCCTGCACCAGAAGAGAACTTGGAATCTAACCCTTGATTGACTTTGAACTTAACCTGGTTTATCTGTTCCCCATGCCCATCATGCCACAGGGAGGAAGGTAAATCTGTTATTAAATGCCCTCTCCTCCAGGTACAGTGGAAGTCCAGGCTGTGCTGCGTGTCACAAACTGCAGTGTGGAGGTTTTGTTTGTTTGTTTACTTTTTCATATTAGAGGCCCAGCGAAGATGGAAGAGTTAGTTTGAACAGTGACAATCTTTTTTCTTAGCAAGTTATGTTAATTTACTATAGTTAGTTCACTTAAGTCTGGAGTCCAATTTAGGAGTTTTGTTTTTGTTTCTGTTTTTGTTTTTTTACAAAATGGGATAAGTTGTAAGTAGCAATTGCCAGTAATCTTCCCTTTGATGAATATTCATTCTAAATATGTGGGCATGATATGGCAATTCTGAAAATGACAATTAGCTTCAAATCAAATATCATTCCATGACTGAGGACAAAGGGAAGATGTTTTTCATAAATTTCAGACTATCACTTGACCACTTATGGTAGCCGAAGAACATGTGGAAGGATTCTCTGCTTCTCCAGCAAAACCGGGTGTCCAGGTTTGGCATGGTCTTTATTCATTTTCATGAACTCTTTTTTTTTTCTTTCTTCCTTTCTTTTTTTTAATTCAAAAGTTTCAACCTCTACAAATTTCTTGGCCCATCTTTTAGGCTTTGTTAAGTTTCCTGGTGTATTGTCTTAAGAATCTTTTCTTCCTTAGCAATTCAGGATGTGTCTGGGGACACAGCACATGTCAGCATGATAAGAAAGGAAAAGACATTCATGTGTAGCTGCTACAGGAATTTAACAAAAGCAGGGATAATTTAATGATAAAAAGCAGCAGCAGCTGGGACTCAATAGGATGCAATTACAATCGCAAAGTCCAGACAGGATGTCCATAATTACAGCTGTCCATGTGTCACCTTGATCTGGAACAAGGTGAGCACCACCTTTCACAGAGATTGGCCAGTCACTGGGGATATGTGGGCATGCCCATCATTCAGGCTGGTAATCTGCAGTTTAGTCTAATGCTCACCAAACACTGTATTTGCTGATTTTAAAAATCCCTATTTGTTCCTATTATCCAATGAAGAGGAAAAAGATTTTTCTCTGAAAATTTGTTTTGTTAGTCTAAGCCTGTTTGCAGATTAATTCTGGAAATCTCTTTCTGTGTTCCATGTCTTTTTATCCTGGGCCTAATTTGCTAGTAAATTTTTTTTTCCGCCATTCAGATTATAGATCAAAGATAGAGCACAGGGCTCTCTTTGAAGAGTATGGTCTCGAGGGATAGCAACCTTGGTGAGACTTCCCTTAAAGATGATTTGTGAGCCCTAAGGAAACGGCCTATGTAAAATGCTTGGTTTTCAGATTTTACTATTGTGGTTTTAATTGCATTTTCTTAACTTGACTGCCTGTCCAATGATATCTGACCCTTGGTAGCTGTGGTCACAGGGGCTACTTATAACAACTGGGGAGGCAGGTATCTTATATAGACCGAGGAAAAGAGGTCAATTAAATCAGTGGATGCTTCCGCTGATACGGCTTGCCTTTCCTAAAACCAAAGAGACTTTTCACTGGAGACTCACCTCTTTCCCAAGCCCTGGTGGATGCAAACAAGGCCAGAGAGGTAGGGACATGTACAGGGCTACAGAGGAACCCCAGGAGAGACCTGCACGCTAGAAAGGAAGGAAACTTTGTTCCCAGGCATATCCTGGGATGCCAAGTTGCAGCCTGGAATTTTTACAGCTGAGTTTTAAACCTCTGACAATGAGAGTTTATAATGGAAATGCTGCCAGACCTTTAACTATAGCGACGCCACTATAATATTTATAAGTACCTTATACTCTTTCCAAACACATGTGCTCATTACTTATGTCTCTGCTTCTGCCTCACTTCTGGGGGGAAACTCTCTGTATAAACAAAACAGATTGGCTTGCTTATACTTTCAAACTCTAATTGCTCTCCATCTCTATTTGTCAGAAGAAAGCCAGCCCCAGGGCCAAGCATTGAAGCCTGTCCCACAACACAGTGCCCAACAATACGCAGACTTCCCTTTACACATTTTTTTTTTTTTTTTTTTTTTTGCTGTGGGAGCTAGTCATTCTGCACATCTTTCAGTGTTTGCTTCTAATTCTT